ATAAATAAATAGTAAAATAATATATGTTCATTTTTTGAATAAAGTTGTTCGTCCTGAGAAGGACGGTTTTATGTCAATTTGCGACAATAAAAGAAATTTAAGCTTTCTTTTCTGTCTTCTTTGGCAAAAGCACAGCTTGTATGTTCGGCAATACACCGCCCTGAGCAATCGTAACACCCGATAACAGTTTGTTGAGTTCCTCGTCATTGCGGATGGCCAGTTGCAAATGACGCGGAATTATTCTGGTCTTCTTGTTGTCGCGAGCCGCATTGCCGGCTAACTCGAGAACTTCGGCGGCCAGATATTCCATGACTGCAGCGAGGTAGACGGGTGCACCAGCGCCGACACGCTCGGCATAGTTGCCTTTGCGTAGCAAACGATGAATACGACCGACTGGAAACTGAAGACCGGCACGGTTAGACCGTGACTTAGCCTTTCCCTTGACTTTACCGCCTTTGCCTCGACCAGACATGTTTACAGGTTCGTGTTCAAACTGAGAATGATATCAAAGTTCTCGAACGGGCCCGTATAGATTTCTGAGCGTTGCAAGCACACGCCCATTTTTTTGTAGACACGCCCCTCCCTTGCCTACGTACGTTGTTACGGCTTCAGTCAAAACGTTGAAGCAGTACGAAAACGGAGCGTCGGCACGACTCAGATGGGAGAAGCATACATGACATGACATATATATTACCCAAGCGACGATAAAAAATCACCAAGCACAATAGATTTTTTCATAACGAAAAATATCCATACAAGGCAGCTCGCCAGAACAATATCCGAAACGGATTCCGACCACAACCCTGTCTATACAAAAATTTACGAAACACCAGAAAGATATACGGAGAGATCATATATAGTAAAATACAACTACAAAAAAGCAGACTGGACGCAATTTAAAGATGACGTAAGCAACCAGCTAGACTTAACGCAAACCATCCTGACAAGATGTGAAATAGATCAAGAAGTTAGAAAGCTTACTGAATTAATACAACACTCTATAAAGAAAAACATACCAAAAATAAATAAGCAAAGCTACGAACAACTACCCGAACACATTATAAAACTTATTCAAGTCAAAAACAGCATACGACGAAAATGGCAAAAACAACGTGTACCTGAATTAAAAGCATTACTAAACAAGTTTGTGAGTGAAATCCAAAGACACATAAGAAAACATAAAAACGATATATGGAAACTGAAACTAGACAACATTAATAAAGACAGCACCAACTTATGGAAATTGACAAAAAACCGAACTCGGAAACGCAATGATATCCCACCACTACATTCAAGACACAATGGGGTAGTCTACTCAAACAAAGACAAAGCAGATGCTATAGCCGAAGTACTGGAAGAAACTCACCGGCAAAACCTTGATCTTGGGAACATACAACACGACCACAAAGTGAACAAAACCGTACAACACAATAAACAACTGAATACACCTATCTGCAGAGTGACCCCATTAGATGTCAAACAAAACATCAAAAAATTAAAAAACTACAAAGCTCCTGGACTCGATAACATACAAAATATTGTACTGAAGAATCTACCACGTAAAGCCATAATAAATTTCACAAAAATCATAAACGCCATGCTATCTCTTGAACACTACCCAGTAGAATGGAAAGCAGCCAAAACACTTCCTTTTCCAAAACCAGGTAAAAGCGACACATTTCCACAAAATTACAGACCTATTAGCTTACTACCGACTATGGGAAAACTGGCAGAGAAAATAATACAAAAACAAATATTATATCACATAAAGAAGAAAAACGTTCTTCCAAAACACCAATATGGATTTAGGTCAGGACACGCAACCCAACATCCCATAAATATACTTACAGAAAAAACCATCCACGCTATGAACATGAAGAAACATACAGGCTTAGTAAGCTTAGATATACAGAAAGCTTTCGACACTGTATGGCATAATGGACTACTATACAAGCTGCAAAAAATAGAGCTACCAAGATATCTAATCAACATCATAAGGTCCTATCTTAAGAACAGAACCTTTAGAGTGTGTGTCAAAAACGAATTGTCAGACGAAAAAGCAATTGCAGCAGGCTTACCACAAGGATCTATTCTTGCACCACTACTTTTTAACATATACATGCATGATATACCTACCCACAAAAACACCCAAATCCTGCAATACGCAGACGACACAGCAATTTTTTCTGCAAGTGCTAAAATCGAAATTCTAACAAAGAAACTACAAGAACACTTATTACAAATCGACCACTACCTAGACACATGGAAACTAAAACTGAATACGCAAAAAACAGAAGCCATACTTTTCACTAACAAACAAAAACAAACCATTGACAAACAGAAAACCCTACAAATTGGAGCGGACAAAATCCCATGGGCTAATACAATCAAATATTTAGGTGTTATCTTTGACAAAAAATTATCGTTCAAAGAACACACAAAATACAGAAATAATCAAGCGTCTGCAGCGATAAATAGACTGCACTGTCTTCTCAACAACAGCAGCTACCTAAACAAGCAAAACAAAAGGCTACTCTATCTACTAATGATAAGACCTATATTGACATATGCAGGGCCGGCATGGACAAACACTTGTAAATACAACTACCAAAAACTACAAAGGACCCAGAATAAATGCCTTAGACTGATAACAGGCAAAAACAGACAACAAAATAATAAATTTATTACTAATAAAGCACTTCATGAAGAAGCAAAAATACCTTACATCAAAGAGTTTATTGCTACCATCACGAAGAAGTTTTATATGGCAATAAATAATCATAAAAACCAAAATATTACAGACCTAGGCAAATTCACAAGGAAAAACTACTGGACAGACAAAAGATTACTCCCAAACTTCTAAACTTCAGAAGTTTGAGAAATATGAACAAACCGAAAATATTAGAAATGGTTTTATGAACCAGGAATATATTAATTAAATGAATAATAGACGACAGTAATACCACGTATTACAAACGTAATACATATTGTCAAGGAATACCACCAATAAATAATAACTCACAGCACGATATGTTTACCTTACACGAAACTGAAGCACGAGGGTCAAGAGGAAGAGGGAGAGAAGAATCATGGCACGACTCATTTCGTATCAGTCAGTGTACTAGTAAACATCAGACATGCCACCGAAAACCAGCGGTAAAGCGGCTAAGAAAGCAGGCAAAGCCCAGAAAAATATTTCAAAGGGCGACAAGAAGAAGAAACGTAAGCGCAAGGAGAGCTATGCCATTTATATTTACAAAGTCTTGAAACAAGTCCATCCTGACACGGGCATTTCGAGCAAGGCGATGAGCATCATGAACAGCTTTGTGAATGATATCTTCGAGCGTATAGCGGCCGAGGCATCGCGTTTGGCTCACTACAACAAACGCTCTACAATCACTAGTCGGGAAATTCAGACAGCAGTCCGGCTATTGCTACCAGGCGAGTTGGCCAAACACGCCGTCAGCGAAGGTACTAAGGCCGTAACCAAGTACACCAGCTCGAAATAAAATGATGAAGATTTTGTGATGCCACTTATATGTTCTGTCGACAATAACAAAGGCCCTTCTCAGGGCCCACAAATATTTTACAAAAGAACTTTATAATTTTTACATTGGTTTTATAGATAAAATAAAATAACCTGACACTAATGATATTTTATTAGGATTTTCAATAAATTTTGATCAGATTTCTATTAGAGATCGTTATTATTAATTTATATTATAAATAATGTTCAATTTCTATATATTTTCAATATGATAAAAATTAATGATTGAATATTCAATTCAATTTAAAACTTTAGTTTTTCAAATTTAGTTAATAAGTTTAAGTTTATTTTAATTTATTATAAAATATATTTATATTAAAAAAAATCGCAATTTAAATATTTTCGTAAAAATAAAATTATTGTCGTAAATATTTTAAAAATTTTATTATTTAAATATATAAAATATATTATTACATATTATATAAATTTAAATAATATGCAAAATTTAATAAATTCATTCATTTAATTGAGCTCCTTCAATTCAGAGCCCTTTTCGAAGCCCTTAACTGTAAAGTATACTAATACTAAAAGTATACTCTATTTTCTATTAATTGAAGCCCCCCCCATGTAAGAAAAGAAATCAATTGCATATAAAAAGTCAATACGAAAAAATAGTAAAATATATATTAATTAATACTTTCTTTAAAACATATTCGAAGGGCTTTCCAATTTGATAATATTATCAATAATATTACCAAAGCAAGTTATTCTGCAAGAAAATAAACAAATTTCATATAAAATCAAATAAAGCCTGTACGTAAATTGTAAAATATATTACTTGTTCTTTTAATTATATTTGACAGCCCTTAAAAGGGCTCTTTTTTGTTTTGTATTTATAAGAAATGACTGCGTCCGTTGATCAATTTAACCGCCGAAACCGTACAGTGTACGACCCTGACGTTTGAGCGCATATACGACATCCATAGCGGTTACGGTCTTCCTCTTGGCGTGCTCGGTGTATGTGACTGCATCGCGGATAACGTTCTCGAGAAACACTTTCAGAACACCGCGGGTCTCTTCGTAGATTAGACCCGAGATACGCTTGACGCCGCCACGGCGAGCAAGACGACGTATAGCCGGCTTTGTAATACCTTGGATATTATCGCGAAGAACTTTCCTGTGTCGCTTAGCGCCACCCTTTCCGAGTCCCTTACCACCTTTGCCACGGCCGGTCATTTTTCAATATATCGCAGTCGGGATAAATTTACAAATTGATGTTAACAGCTCGAAGTCTGAATAACGACTGAATTCCGACGAGCGAAATTATTGAAAAGTTTGAGCTCGCTAGGCCACGCCCATCATAGCTATGCGAGCATTCGGCGCCGACCAATGACAGCCGAGCACAGCATCGGACATTCGTAATGTATTTTGATCATAATATTCGAGCCGGACGCGTCAGTATCAAAACGATCGTCAAACGAGAAGGTTCTCGAAACGAAATCTAGGAGTTATAATGGCCCGTACGAAGCAGACAGCTCGCAAGTCCACCGGTGGCAAGGCGCCCCGTAAGCAGCTTGCAACGAAAGCGGCTCGCAAGAGCGCGCCGGCGACCGGCGGTGTGAAGAAGCCGCATCGTTATCGGCCTGGCACCGTAGCTCTGCGTGAGATCCGTCGTTACCAGAAGAGCACCGAGCTTCTCATACGAAAGTTGCCGTTCCAACGTCTAGTGCGCGAGATCGCTCAGGACTTCAAGACCGATCTGCGTTTTCAGAGCTCCGCCGTCATGGCATTGCAGGAAGCTAGCGAGGCCTATTTGGTTGGCCTGTTCGAAGATACAAACTTGTGCGCGATCCACGCCAAGCGCGTAACCATCATGCCCAAGGATATTCAACTAGCTCGGCGTATTCGAGGAGAACGCGCTTAGACGCCTGTCGTCCTATAAAACAAATCGGTCCTTTTCAGGACCACCAAAATGATCAATTAAAAGAACTTTTATTATTTTTCAAATTATTTTATTTTGCAGAATTATTCCATCGATACGTTAGAAATTTTTATTGATTTTTTTTTTAATTGAAATTATTGACAACACACATGATTTGACTTGTTGAATAGTGTGTTGTTGTGTTAAGTTTAAAAAATATTATAGTTGAATTTGTAAAATTCGTCATGAATTTCTGAAAGCTTCTTTAAAAAATTCTAAATTTAATTAATATGGGCGAGTTGCCGTTCTGATGATAGAAATTTATATTATATATATTATATTATATATATTTATATATATAAATATTTTTTTTTTATTGTATATTTTTTAATTTCATATATAGTTATTTAAAGTTATATAAATTTTCTTTTTCGAATACGATATGAAAAAAAGATTGAAACTTCATAAATTATTAATGATTATATTTTATTTCATTAATTAATTTCCATTTACTTATTATTTATATAAAAAAAAATTAGAAAAAATTATGAATTTAATTATTATGAGAGTTGCCGTTCTATGTATAGTTGATTTATTTAAAGTGATATATAAAACTTTTATTAATAAATTATTGATTATATTTCATTTGATTAAGATAATTTATTCATATAAAATTATTTAAAAAAAAATAAAAATAAATAAATAAAATTCAGCGATTGATATTGAACAACTCCCTACCAAAGACGAAATTGAAAATTGAAAAGACTTTGACTTTTAAATTTCGTCAATGACACAACACGGCGGCGAGGAACACAGCGAGCGTTGCTGCGCTCCTGTTACAAATATTTTATTAAAATTTTTCCGAAGTCCACGAAAAGGCTATAATATAAGATGATAAGATATATATAAGTAAAATAATAATGTTCTTTGATAAAAATTTATTGTTAGTCCTGAAAAGGACTTTGTGCAAACATTTTCGTTGCTGTTGTGTAAAAAGATAATGAAATGACGCTTTTTTCAAAGGTTGGCTACTTTTGATGTCTTCTTTGGCGATTTAGGTTCTTTGCGGCTGCGGTCTTGACGGTTTTCTTCGTTTTGCTCGTTGCCTTGGCCGATGAGGCTTTCGTCGACTTACCCTGAATGGTCTTCTTCTTATCGACTGTCGTCTTAGGTTTCGCCGACGACTTTTTTAATGTGCCCGCTGCGGATGCAGACTTCTTTTTAGGGGACGAAGCAGGGTTGGCGGGCGCCCTTCGACTTTGCTGTCTTCGATTTTGCTTTTGCCGCTGGCGTCTTAGCGGTCCTGGCTTTTCCAGCCGAAACACCGCTTTCGCCGCCGCTCTGTTTAGCGTTCGCGGCAAGTTTGAACGAACCCGAAGCACCTTTGCCTTTTGTTTGAATCAGTGTGCCCGCTTGAACAGCTGACTTTAAATACTTTTTAATGAACGTTGACATTTTCTCGGCGTCGATTTTATAATTGGCCGACATATATTTCTTAATCGCCTGCAGCGACGATCCGCCGCGTTCTTTCAGACTTTTAATAGCGTTGTTTACCATTTCAGATGTAGGAGGATGGGACGGCTTCACTCGCGGTTTTTTAACAGCCGCAGTCTTGCCCTTTTTCGGCGATGCTGTCGCTGGCGCAGCGGTTGCCGCCGGCGACGTAGATAAAGCGTTATCTGACATTATAGTAAAAAATCGTAGGTTAAAATGTAAATCTAACACGTGATTGGTTAAATATGTTAGGGGCGTGGCCAAAAACTATATTCGAAAAGTGTAGGACCGAGGAGAAAACAATAATATTTGAAAATTTTACAAAAATGTAAATTATTTGTAAAAAATTAAATCCAGCGCTTTATTCTAAATAATTCGCATAAAACAATGATT